AGTGACCTCGTATATGAGCACAGAGGCTGATAATGCCCTTTCCAACTTATGCTTATTGAACGGGATATTAAATAAAATAACCGGACCAGCAGCTAGTATTATAAACTCTAATGGCGTCCCCGATAACTGGCTAGACATAAGGAACGCTTTAATAAATAATTTCGCAGATCAGAGGGACGAAACCGCCCTCTATAACGACCTCTCTTTGGCCACGCAAGGCCAGAGAACTCCACAAGAGTTTTATGACCATTGCCAAACCTTATTTAGCACAATAATGACCTATGTTAGCCTTCACGATAACATACCGACCACTGTAGAAGCTAAACGTAATCTATACAGAAAATCTACGATGCAAGCATTTGTAAGAGGACTACGAGAACCACTAGGGTCTCGTATTAGGTGCATGAGACCACCCACAATAGAAAAGGCTCTAGAATATGTGCAGGAAGAGATGAATACAATGTATCTCCAACAGAGAAACGAAACATTTTATAAACCACATCAAGGCCCTAAGACTGTTCAATCCGTACCTGCGCACATTCCAAAACCTTTATATACGACCACCCCAACAGCATTTTGGCCGATGCCTACCTTGCAACGGCCACTACCGACAACACCGCAACCATTTAGGTTCACGCCTCCACCTCATCAGAGCTTCAGAGGTCACCCAGCACAGCAACAACCACAGGTACGTATGCCCTCACATACGCAGCGGATGCTAAGTGCCAGACCTCCTAACTATAATCCCCAAAGCAACGTTTTCCGCCTTCCACCACGAAACCAGCCGGTACAGTATAATCCACAGTATCCCAGACCTATGAGTGGTGTTCAACATTTCGTACCTAAGGCGTTACCACCCTCAGGACTTAGAGGAAATGACTGGCGTACACAAGGTAACCCGCCCCCGACGAATTACCTCAAATCTCGTGAGATGAATATGAATGAATGTTACGACTTAAACTACTACCCGTACTATGACCCGTACCCAGACTATGACAATGAATACTACCACAGTTACGACGGACCCTACGATTATAGCGAGCACGATAATTATGACTATACAGAACCCACTTGTTCTTATAATGACCAGACAGTAGATACGCCCGACAGTTCTAAAGGAAATACAAACGAGTGTAACCCGGTGGATAACGATCAGGATTTTCAGAAGGGCCGCTCATCAAAAAAGTTAACATAGAAATAAATTTACAGACTCAGAGGCAACTACCTTACATTCAAATAAATAACCCACCATTGAAATTTTTAATTGACACCGGTGCTAACCAGTCTTTTATAAGCCCACAGGCTGTTCAAAGGTACTTTTGCAACATCCCATTAAACTACGACCCCTTTGAAATCACTAACGTTCATGCCACCACTAGAGATAACTATTAGATTACATTTCCCGGATTCCCTGAATTTAATGACAACGAGAAAGTAAGACTATTCATATACAAGTTTCATGATTACTTCGACGGACTCATTGGACTGGACCTGTTAACTAAATGGGAAGCGAAAATTGATTTAAAATACCAAACACTAACCACTCGATCCGCAACCAACCCGATTCAGATGTATAACTCCCGAAATATCAATTTATATGAGGATATCATCCCCGCGCAGAGCTCTAAATTAATCCGTGTGCCTATTAACGCTCCGGATGGCGACGTTTACATTCCTGAACAAATAATTTGTAATTGCATAATATCCGATTGTGTTACGAAGGTCGTATGCAGTCGGGGCATAGTAGAAATAATTAATCCGACAGAGAACGACATCATAATATCATTAGATCAAGCCTGTAATGCCGAGGTATTCAACATTAACTGTTCTCATATTCAACCACAATCATCACGAACTCAAGAAGTATTAGCGCGTCTCCGTACTGACCATTTAAATCCAGAAGAATTAGCCAACTTATTAGCTCTCTGTTCTAACTATTCAGATGTTTTCTATATTAACAATGAACCACTGACTTTCACAAACAAAGTAAAGCATATTATTAATACAACTGATTAAACCCCGATCTACACCAAGAGTTATCGGTACCCTTTCGCGCATAGACAAGAGGTCAAGGACCAGATAACTAAAATGCTTTCACAAGGTATCATTAGACCTTCCGAATCTGCATGGAGTTCACCTATTTGGATAGTACCAAAAAAGGTAGACGCTTCAGGAAAACAAAAGTGGCGCCTTGTCGTTGATTTTCGGAAGTTAAACGACAAAACCATCAGTGACAAATACCCAATTCCCAACATAACAGATGTTTTAGACAAGTTAGGCAAATGTCAGTATTTTTCAACCCTTGATCTTGCTAGCGGATTTTGGCAGGTAGAAATGGACCCAAAGGACATTCATAAGACGGCTTTTACAGTAGAACATGGGCACTTTGAATTCCTGAGAATGCCCATGGGACTTAAAAACGCACCATCCACCTTTCAAAGGGTAATGGATAATTTATTAAGAGGTCTACAAAACGAGGTATGCCTGGTGTACCTTGATGATATCATTGTCTTCAGTACTAGCCTGCAAGAGCATATTATTAATCTTGAAAAAGTCTTTCAGAGACTCCGAGAGTCCAATTTTAAAATACAGATGGACAAATCAGAGTTCCTAAAACTAGAGACCGATTTTTTAGGTCACGTTATCACAAGAGATGGCGTTAAACCTAACCCCGAAAAGATAGTCACCATATAAAAATACCCCTTACCACGGACGACTAAAGAAATTAAGCAGTTTTTAGGTTTATTAGGATACTACAGAAAATTTATACCCGACTTCGCTAGAATTACGAAACCAATGACATCCTGTTTAAAAAAGAATTGTAAAATCACGTTAGATAGTACATATACTGATTGCTTTGAAAAATGTAAGAAACTACTGACCAATGACCCAATACTTCAATACCCTGACTTTAATGAGGAATTCATACTGACGACCGACGCATCCAACTTTGCCCTAGGTGCCGTTTTATCCAAGGGACCTGTAGGCTCCGATAAACCAATCGCGTACGCCTCTCGTACCCTTAACGAAAGTGAAATAAATTACAGTACAATAGAAAAAGAATTGCTCGCAATAGTATGGGCAACCAAGTATTTCCGACCTTACCTTTTTGGAAGAAAATTTAAAATAATAACGGATCATAAACCCCTTCAATGGGTTATGAATATTAAAGAACCCAACTCCAGACTCACTAGATGGAGATTGAAGCTCAGTGAATATGATTTCACAGTAATATATAAAAAAGGAAAAGTCAATACAAATGCAGATGCTTTATCCAGAATTGAAATTCATAACGAGGAAATTAGCTCCATTACCGTAAACCCTTCCGAGAGACCACCTAGTATAGATAATTCAGCTACCAGCACCGCCCATACTAGTCAGGAAAATCCGATTCTAGAAGTTCCCATCACAGATGAACCCCTTAACAAATTTCATAGGCAACTATGTATGACTTTAGTTGACGAAATTACTAGGCGACCTGTAGTATCTAAACCATTCGAATCCCATGTTAAGGTATCGACACAGATTTCCGAATCCTCCCTCGAGAGTGATATTGTAAATTCCATCAAAGAGTATGTCAACCCCAAAGTTAAAACCGCCCTGTTGATAACACCCCCATTAGCCATGTACAAAATTATACCCATTATACAAGAAAATTTTAAAAGCTCTGCAATGAAGCTCGTCCTAACTAAAGTAGAATTAGAAAATATAAAAGAATATTTAAAACAACAGGAAATAATTAAACATTATCACGAAGGGAAGACTAACCATAGAGGAATAAATGAATGTTATCTAGCATTGTCCCGGAAGTATTACTGGCCGAGAATGAAAGATCACATTACTAAATTTATTAACGAATGCAGTATATGCGGGCAAAGCAAATACGAAAGAAACCCGATCAAACCTCAGTTAAATCTTGTACCACCTGCGACTAAACCTCTGGAAATCATTCACGCTGATTTATTCACTATACAGACTGAAAAATACATAACTTTCGTAGATGTTTTTACGAAGTACGGACAGGCTTATCCCTTAAAGGATGGCACAGCGATTAGTATTGTACAGGCCTTTCTTACATTTTGCACTCACCATGGGCTCCCCCTAATAATTGTAACAGACAACGGGACTGAATTTACGAACCAAATCTTTGCGGAATTCATAAAGCTTCATAAAATCATACATCATAAGACCCAACCCCACTCGCCAAATGATAACGGTAATATCGAGAGATTCCACTCAACCATACTTGAGCACCTTAGAATACTGAAGTTACAACAGAAAAATGAATCAATAGTAAATCTTATGCCTTATGCTATCATCGCGTACAATAGCTCCATCCATAGCCTCACTAGATGTCGACCCTACGACTTACTGAAAGGACACTTCGACCCCAGAGACCCGACGGACATCGATGTGACACAACACTTATTACAGATGTATATGCAGACACACCGTGACCAGATGAAATTAGTTTATGACATAGTTAATAATATAGCCCTCGACAACCGGACAGCCCTTACGAACAACCATAATAAGACGAGAGAACCTGAAATCGAATACCAACCTCAGCAGCAGGTATTTATTAGGAACCCTGCGGCAACTAGACAGAAAATAGCTCCCCGTTACACGCAAGATAAAGTCCTCGCAGATCTACCAATCCATATCTACACGTCTAAAAAACGCGGCCCCGTAGCAAAAACACGCCTGAAACGACCAACCAAAAATGTAAAATTGTTACAGGGTGACCTTACTACTGATGACAACACTAAAACTGGCTAACACAGGAGATACGACTTGATAACTTAGACAATGGACCAGGACTTTTACCGTTTAAACTCGGACCTGCAAGACTGACAACCCATCACCATACCTTCTTACAGTACATTGACTTGGACAGAATTGAACATGAAATTAACGAACTAAGAGGACAACTACTAAATTTTGAACATAGACTCTTTAACACTACTTACACGGTATATGAGCCCCAAATTCGCTACCTAATGAATAAAACGAATCATATATTAGAACACTTGCAGACTTTAGAACCTAGCAGGACAAAAAGAGGTCTTATAGACGGACTAGGATCACTAGTTAAAAGTATAACAGGAAATTTAGATTATCAGGACGCTATAAGATATAATAAAGCACTTGAAGTTTTAGAAAATAACCAAAATAAAATTAATTCAGAACTTAGTAACCGCGCTAGCTTGAATAAGGATTGGATGAAAGAACAGAGCAGTGTGTTAGAAAGACTAGTTCAAAATCAAATAGAAATTAACAATACCTTACAATCCTGGTCTGAAAAAGATAGTTATAGAGAGAATAGTTTCCACAGATACGGTAGATTCACCCAAACCTTAACAATCATTACCGAAAACGCTAATGACGTATTAAATGGATTAATTAATATAGAGAATATGTTAGCTTTTACTCGTACAACCACGACTCATCATTCGATGATTAGTCTTAAAGTACTTAGGTTAATGTTAAGCAAGCTTAGGTTAGTTTACGGCCCGGAACAAGTAGTGGACTTAGAATTAAGGGACTATTATACCTTGATAAGATCCGGTTCATACTTCGTTAATAAACAGATCGTAATAATTTTTAAATTCCCTATAGTTTCAAAGAGTACTTATGACTTGTATAGATTATCCTTAGCTCCCAATAGATTTCACCGAGTAATTATCTCACCTTCTCCTTTCCTAGCAATTAATAGAAAAGAATTTGTGTACATAGAGGCTGAATGCCCGAAGTACCATCACCTGTCCCTTTGTGACGAGACTTCCCACAGGAGGATACGCACTACGTCAGACTGCATTCAACAGATCATCTTGAGGCAAACTATCGAAGAAACCTGCATATTTTCGACGGTCCATTTACTAAAAGAAACTGTAGAGCAACTGGATGACCGCAGCTACATCATATCGTTCCCAAAAGCAGCAAAGGTTCGACTCAGCTGTGGCACAGAAGCATACAATGTACTGAATGGTAGCTTTCTCGTTACGCTACCCCTGCACTGCTCTCTGCAATCTCCTGAATTCACTATTTTAAACTCAGATGATGCTATACAAGGGCAGCCACTGAAAATTATGAAGATAGAACAGAGTATAGACACCGCAATACAAGGGACTCCACATCATCACATCTTACATCTATAGACCTGAAAGCACTTCATAGTATCCAAGAAAAGGCATCGCTCCGGACTCCCCTACAGATGAACTCATTAGATGAATCTTATTACTATCATACAACGCTACCCTTTTATGTTGTATTATCCGGCGTAATTATCTTCGTCGTTGTATCTCTAATCCGTCGTTACAAGCTACGCAGATCAGTAAACATTGAAGTAGCAATAGATTCTAACGAAGAAAAGCACACAGAGGATGCCGGAGATCATGCCCTTACGACACCATCTCAGATAACCATTTTCTCGCACAAAATCGGAAAATAGTTGCCAGACTGAGGGGGGAGGAATTACATATACCTAAAATATGTAAAATATGTAAAAGTACGTGTGAATGCACCGTCAGCACCCCGACCGATGGCGCCAGCGCGACGGCGACACGACACCACCGATGAACGAAGCCCTGCTTTACCGGAAACTCACTTTTGTTCAAACATCGAACTTGAGCATATTTTTAGATTGTAATTTTTATTATAATTAAAATAAGTTTAAATAGATTTCGTTTCTTTTGCTCCTTCGGCTGTAGCATACGTAATTGGTATCAAAACAAATAAATGACGCCAAAAATAACAGTAAACAAATATGGCAAGTTGTAAATCGACATAGAAATAAAAATTATAATAAAGTTATGAATAAGCTAATTATAAAAACCAATGAAAAAATTGTTGACAATCCTAAAGAATTGGCAAACTTCGCCAGGCAATTTAATTATATACCCACGTCAAAAAATATTAATCAAAATCAGGCAAGGTTTTACCTTCAACAAGGCTCTGATAAGGTAACTGATGAGATGATGTTAACTGCTGTTACACCTGATGAAATCATAAAGATTGTGAAAGACATGCCGAATAAAAATTCTTGTAGATTTGATGAATTGCCAATATCGGTAGTAAAAGAGCATATCGCGACCTTAGTTTTACCTCTGTCTCATTTATATAATGAATGCTTTAAAAGTAGCATTTTCCCAGAACAATGAAAATAGCCAAGATTATACCATTGTACAAAAAGGGCCTACAAACCGACTCAAAAAATTACAAACCGATTTCTGTGTTACCTACACTCTCGAAAATATTTGAAAAGGTAATTAAAAGCCGTCTCACTAGCCATCTGAATAATAATATAGTTTTAAATCGGCGACATTTTATATATAAAAAAATAATCAATACGACAGATCCTATTAATACCTTAATTAACGATGTCATAGAAAATTTTAACAAAAAAGTCAAAGTGGCTGGGATCTTTCTGGATTTAAGTTGCGCTTTTGTCACAGTGGATTATGAACAAGGGGCAATGTGTTAAAGTTATTTAAATCATATTTAAAAAATAGAAAATTGTAAATAGAAATTAAGGAGGTAGGTAAAAACAATTTTCCAGAGGTACACCGATCACAACTTTCAAATGTCAGGAGGGGCGTACCGTAAGGTTCCATATTAGGGCCTGTTTAGTTTACACTTTTTACAAATGACTTACTAACCTATTTAAGCGTAAAAAAGCCAGATGGTAAACTCACGGTTTTTGTATATGACACCAACGCTGTAATTAGTGCAAGTAATTTAAATTCCTTAAATGTAAAAATAATTGGAGCACTGGAAACTTTTCAAGATTGGTTAGCAGCTAACAAGCTTATAGTTAACACAAAAAAGACAAACCTAATCTTAATTAAATCGATAGCCAGTAGTAACGATAGATTAGACGTTATGACAAACGGAGAGAAATTAGAATTCGTGAATTCTGTTAAATTTTTGGGGGTTCATATTGATGCATTGCTCAATTGAAAAGAAGAGATAAAATCTATTGACGCCTCAGTCTCTGCAGCGTGCTATGCAATTAGGAGCCCTCGAGAAGAAGTAGGAATAGATATCCTAAAATCCTTTTACCATGCGTTAATAGTGTAGTGTGTAAGTACCTTTATAATATCTGCATCAGCGATTCCTTACTAGTGTAATAATTATAACATACTTTTGTGGCATTCAATAAACGTAGGTAAACCGAAGTGGTTGTCTAATTTATCCAAACCCCAACATTACATGGCTTAAGGGCTTTGCCCCTGCCTAAGAGCTCTGCCAAGGGGTCCACAGTCTTTTAAGCTCTAGTAAAGTAGTTTTGCCATTTGAACATGTGCCGGTCCACTGTTGAAGAAGAAGAGGTCTTCCTTAGCAGAAACGCTGCTGGTGGAAACAATGACACAACTCTAAAGGTAGTTGGAGGTCATCTGGAGCGACTGAACACTGTCACGTGGATCATCCTTGCGGTAATATTTTTGCTATTATTATACGTTGGAGTGAGGCTCTATAGAAAATGTCATCGTGGTTAGATACAAGAGGAGATTGGCCTTGGAGCGATTGAGAGAAATCGGGCATCCATACGGGGTTATGTTGCCGCTGCCACTACCGAGAGAACTGGATAAATGATCGTTTGTTGGCTCAAGCAATCATTTAAATGTGGTATTTTTCGTGTATTTTTTTGTTTTCTTCTTACCTAATTAATTTTATGATATGAATGCAATTTGTTTACATTATATTATAAATATATTATGAGTTTAGAAATAGATATAACTCAAATTTTTGAACAGTTGAATAAAATTAAAGAAAATATTTCCAAATTAGGTCCCTTTAGACGGACAGGATGTAATTTTGAAAATAAGATTTTAAAAGCTAAAAGTTTGTACGAGTGTTTTAAAAATATTTTTGTGTAATTTAGAGAAAGATGTGTCTGAAGAGTTAGTATTTTTATGCTATACGAGTATATTTCATACATAGAGAAATGTTATGACAAAATTTTGACTTTTGAGGAAGAATCTATTTTATATAATTAAAGTAGTAGTAAATCGGAAACAATGTCGGGTGAAAAATTCAGTTTAAAAACGGCCGTAAGCCTTTTACCGAAAATGACGGGAGATGAACAGATGACTCGGGATTTAATTGATGCGATTGAATTATACAAGTCAATGCTTAATGATAGTGATAAGCAGATGCTAATCAAATTTGTTTTAAAAAGACGATTAACAAGTGGAGCTAAAATGCGTTTAGCTACTTCTTATAGTTCTGTGAATTCACTATTAGAGGATATGCGTATACATTTACTAACTCGCAAATCTGACACTGCTTTACAGGCTAGTTTACAGAGATGTAAGCAAGGTGAAAAATCGGTACAACAGTTTGGCAATGAGATAGAGAAATTATTTGTGGATTTAACTATTTCTCAGGCGGATGGGGACGACAATGCATACAAAGTACCGCGCCCTTTAAATGAAAAGAATGCAATTAAATATTTTTCGGAAGGTTTGAGAAGCCAAAAGTTAGGGACTATGATTTCAGCACGTAATTTGACATCTTTAAAAGATGCAGTCAGAGTAGCCGAAGATGAATCTAATACAGCTTTGGGCCCTTCTTTCATGTCGTACAATCGGCAAGCGCCTTGGCGTACCAATAATAAAAAATATTTTTCACGTGGATTTCGTGGTCGTAATTCGTATAATAATTATTTTTCAAGTAATAATAGAATGTCGGCATCATCACAGAACGCGTGGCGAGGCTCCCACGGTAACCGCACTCGGCGCGATTCAGGTTTCAGGTAGATACGTTCGCGGAAATCGCGGTAACAGCGCAAAGCGTTCTTGTAATAGAAATCTAAATCATTTTACTGCAACTAATCAAAATGAATCCCCAGCTTCCTTGAATAATAACGAAGATGATCATAATTTAGACCAGTTTTTTCGTTCCAAATCAGGTCTTAGCCTGCGATAGTATTAATTGGGTAAATTTTAGTGTAGATAAGTTACAATTAGACTTTTTAGTAGATACAGGGGCATCTTTATCAGCTATTAAATATGAACTTTTAGATTTAACTAAATTAGAATTACATAAATGTGAGTTAAACATTAATGTACATTGTACATTTAACAATAATGTTAAAGTACCACCTATACGGTGGTACTTTAACGTCAGTAGGTTTTGTTTACTTGACATTAGGACATAACGATATATTTTTTGAGCATAAGTTTTACGTATTTAGGAATTTACCGTGTAAGGCGATAGGTATCTTAGGACAAGATTTTGTGAAGCGATATTATGCCGACATAGAGTATGAGACAGACATGCTCTCTCTTAAAGTCGCACAGAGTAGGTTTAGTTTACCTTTACATTATTATAACTATTCTTTTTTTATCGCACCGCGATGTGAGATCATTAAGTATATACATACACACGTTACTTATGTCTGTGTCATATTCCCTAAAGAGATAAGACAAGGTATTTTTTTAGCTAGTGTAGTAGCTAGGCCGAAAAATGGTAAGATTCCAGTGAGAATTTTGAATACCACTGACAAGGAAGTTTCACTATGTTTGAACGAACTTGAGGTCGATAAATTAGATAACTACGAGTTTTGTAAGTTTGAGAAGCCGGATATTAGCGTCGAGAGAATACGAACGTTATTTTCTTTACTCAATTTAGGATCATATTTGAATAAGGAGGAACAATTAGAAATAGAACAGATTTGTGCTAAATTCTCGGATATCTTTCATTTACCGGGTGATAAATTAACGGTTACGAACGTTTACGAGCAGTCTATTCATTTAAAAAATAATGCAACGCCCGTGTATAAAAAACAATACAGGATTCCATTTTCACAGAAAGAAGAACTTAATAAACAAATTGATTAAAATGTTACGAGACGGGATCATAGAAAAAACTAGTACGGAATGGTCTAGTCTATTGTTGTTAGTGCCTAAAAAGTTGGGTCGAAATGGTAAGCGTCAATGGAGAGTAGTAGTTAATTACAGGCAGTTGAACGACAGGATTCAAGATGATAAATTTCCTCTCCCAAACATTACTGATATATTAGAATCTTTATCAGGTGCCTTTTATTTTAGCCATTGTGATTTGAGTTCTAGTTATTTTCAATGTAATTTAACGAAAGAATCTAGAAAGAATACCGCATTTACCACTGATAAATCGCAGTATCGTATGTGCAGAT